GGAAGGAGGCGGCGATGTCGGCTGGTCGGGATCTGGAGGAGGCGCTCGAGGCGTCGCTGCAATGATGAAGGGGCGGACTTGTCGGTGGGGTGTTGAGGGACCTTGCGGAGGGAAGAGGAAGGGGACGGTTGAAATAGGAGCGGCTATGTTCGTTGTTGCTGTCGGGATCATGTAGTTGTGCTGGCGAGGATTCCTGGCGGATGGTTGTCGTCGGGCGGAGAGGATGAGGGCGTCGGCGGCCGGTGTAGAGGGGGAACGGCAGCGAAAAGGGGGGGGGGGTTTTTTGGCTGCCGTCGTTCGTGATGAGGGATGTGCCGTCGGGGGTTGTTAAAGGGATGCTGCGAGGGAGGAGAGGGGACGACTGAAGGAGGGTGGCAATGTTCGGCTGGTTCGGTGATGCTGTAGGTGTGTGCTCGAGGGATCCTGACGGAGGGTGTCGTCACGGAGAGGATAAGGCGTCGGTCGGCGTGTACGAGAGGGACGCAGGCAGAAATGGGGGGGGGGGGCTTCTTACTCTGTCGGCGGTAGAGGAAGGGGTGATTCGTCGTTGGTGGTGTTGAGTGGACCAGCGAGAACGGGGACAAGGCGTCGGACTATGGGGCAGGGGAGGGAGTCGGGGTTAGGTGCTAGGGGTTTGGAGGTTGAAGAAAGAGGGCATGGGATGTTTGGGTTGGGGATTGTTTGAGGAGAACGGGGAATGGGTTTGGCGGTTGGTAGGGGATAGAGAAATGGAGAATGCTAAGGGTTTGGGGTTTGGATTTTGAGAGAGGGAAGAGAACTAGGGTTTCACACACCTAGATCTAATATTTGGGTTTCACACACCAAATACATAGAGGAAGAATTTTCATTTCAATGAAAAATATTTTATTTCTTCCAATAATTCATCACTTGATTACAAATCAACCCGCCTTTAAATAGGCTTACAAAAATGACTCATCTCTCTCCACATCCGATGTGGGACTAAAAACAAGGCTCTTATTAAACAAAACTAAACTACACCTCTTATTAAAAGAAAACAACTGAAAATACACACTCGATTTCATCTAAACTAAAATCACATAGCAGAGATCCGATGCAAAGCTGTAATACGGTGTCTCCTGCGCTGATAAACATGTCGAAAATCTCGTGAAATACGGATGTCCGCATCACATTTGTTTTTCCAAAAATAATAGAATATGAAACATGTGAAAGTGTATACGAATATAACTATTGTTCATATCTATAAAGCTAAACCAAAACAAAACAATAAATATGAAAACCAAAAACTAAAATGTGTGTATATATATATATATATATATATATATATATATATATATATATATATATATGAGATTAATGAGTATCTTTGTCATAGGAGAGGATTTTCTCCTTGACGCCTCTAAAATCACATGATTGAGCGACATTATGTGTGATCCGCCATCGAGCCATGTGAAAAGTTTGGGGTGAATCCGCCCCCTTCTACTCTCCTTAAATGCCAAGTGAGTTCTAAATCAGTGAACTATTGAAATTAAACGCAATTCAAGTTACAATGCGTATGCTTCGAATCTCAATATTAAAATCAATAAAATTATAGAGTCTAACATGATCACACATCTCACCAATTGTAAGTGCCCGACAACAGATAATTGCAAATTTTAAGAGATGCAAATCTAAAATGATGCAACCAAACAATATTCTTAAATAGTCCCTGCAGAGAGGATGACTACCTGATGGAATCCGTGGTTGCGGACTCACTTGCTATCACCTTTGTTGCTGCCAGCGTGCATCGGATCTGCCGTGTGCTCGGCTAGCGGCACTGCTGGGATGAGAAGGCGGTGCTTGCGTTGGTGTGCTTGCCAGGACTGTCGTGAGAAGAGGGGCGGTGGGCGTTGGCTGTCCTCGCCTCATGCATGAGGGCGGCCGCCGGCGGGGGTGTTGAGCGACCTGCCGAGGGAGAGAGGCGGACGGATTGAAAGGCACGCGCGGCAATGTTCGCCGACTGGGTCGCGCGATCTGTAGGTTGTGCTCGAGGATTCCTGGCGGCAGGCGTGTCGTCCGCGGAAGGGGGGGGGGGGGGGGGGGCGGGTGGCGGGGTGGGGGGGGCGGGGGGGGGGGGGGGGGGGGGGGGCTGAGGCGGGCGGGGGGCGGGGGGGGGGGCGGGGGAGGGGGGGGGGGGGGGGCGGGGGGGATGGGGGCGGGGGGCCGGCGGGCCGGGGCGGGGGGCGGGGCGTGGGCGGGGGGGGCGGGGCGGGGGCTGGGGGGGGGGGCGGGGCCGGGGGGGGGGGGCGGCGGGGCGGGGGGGTCGGAAAAGGCGGGGGGGGGCGCGGGCGGCGGGGCGCGCGGGGCGGCTGTGGGGGGGGGGGGGGGGGGCGGGGGGGCCGGGGGGGCGGGGGGGGGGCGGGGCGCGGGGGGGGGCGGGGGCGGGGGGGGGGGAGAGGAGGGGGGGGCGGAGGGGGGGGGGGGGGGGGGGACGGGGGGGGGGGGGGGGGGGGTGGGCGCGGGGTGGATGCAGGCGCCGCTCGGCCGGCCGCTGTAGCAGAGGAACCAGCGAAAAGGGGGCGGGGCGTTGCGTGCCGTCGCTTCGTGATTGAGGTCGGTGGCCCGTCGGCGGGTTGTTAAGGATTCTGCGAGGGAGCAGACGAGAGAGGACGACTGAAGGAGGCGGCAATGTCCTCGGCTGGTCGCCGCGATCTGTAGGTTGCTGCTCGATCCTGACGGAGGGTGTCCGTCACGAGAGCAGGATAAGCTGGCCGTCGCGCGGCGGGTGTAGAGGGACCCAGCGAAAGCGGGGGGGCCTTGCCTACCGTCGCGGCTCGTGAGGAAGGGGTGATCGTCGTTGGTGGCTGTTGAGTCCGCGCCCCGCGAGAGCGGACAAGGGCGTCGGACTATGGGGCAGGGAGCGTCGGGTCCGCCTAGGCTTCAATCACCAGATCAAGGGTTTGGAGCGTTGCAAGACACAGGGCATGGAGTTGCGCGCTTTGATTTGCTTTGAGCGAGAACGGAAGGCGTTTTGGCCGCGTTGCGTAGAGCGAGCAAGCAGAAATGGGAATCTAGGTTTTTTTCTTTTCTTTTTCTTATAATGGCCAGGGTTTGCTGATGTATTGTGAGAGGTAAGTGGATGGTTGGATTAATTTGATAGAGTTGCAACAGCTTGCAGAAAATGAAAGGCATGCTAGTGAAATGGGCGGTTGGCATTTGAGCAGAGGGAAGCAGAAACTGGGTTTCACACATCCTAGATCTAATATTTTGGTGTTTTCACACACCAAATACATCAGAGGAAGAATTTTCATTTCAATGAAAATATTTTATTTCTTCCAATAAATTTTTATTTTCTCTTTTCATCCTGACATCACTTGATTACAAATTCACAGCCCGCTTTAAATCAGGCCTTACAAAATGACTCCATCTTCTCTCCACAATCCGATTAGGGATAATAAACAAGGCTCTGTATTAAACAAACTAAACTAACACCTCTTTTAAAGAAAACAACTGAAAATACCACTCGATTTCATCTAAAACTAAATTCACATTAGCTAGAGATCCGATGCAAAGCTGTAAATACGGTGTCTCCTGCTGCTGATAAACATGTTCGAAATCTCGCTGCAAATTACGGATGTCCGCCATCACATTTTGTTTTCCAAAAATAATAAGAATTATGAAACATGCTGAAAGTGCTTAACGAATATAACTATTGTTCATATCTATAAAGCTAAACCCCCTCCCCTCCCCTCAACAAAAACAAAACAAAAATGAAAACCAAAAACTAAAATGTGTGCTATATATATATATATATATATATATATATATATATATAATACTATATATTATGAGATTAATTGAGTATCATTTGTCATAGCGAGAGGATTTTCTCCTTTTGACGCCCTCTAAAATCACATGATTTGAGGACATTATGTGTGATCCCGCCCCATCGCAGCCATCCTGAAAAGTTTGCGGTGAATCCGTCGTCGTTTGCACCCTCCATCGAGCCATGGGAAATGTTTTTATTCAGTTCAAAACCGTTAAAATGATACGAGGTGGATGAAAGCGGTCACAAACGGACGCACGCGGTTCACCCCAAACTTGCCGTGTGTTGGGGTTTTAGAATATGTAGATCAAGTTCAACGGAGCCGGTTCATCCTAATGTCGCTCAATCATTGATTTTAGAGACTGTCAAGCGAGGAAATCCCCTCCTTATGACAAGGCCCATAACCATTAATCTCTCTCTTCTCTTCTCCTCTATATATATATTATATATATCATATACATATATAATAATATATATATATATATACATAGAAACCAATAAAATATGTGTGTATATGATATTGAGCTTAGAGTATTAAAAACACATAATATAAACCTATACTAAATATACGCAAGCTTGATTGGTCTTCGATGCAGCTCAACTTGGTAAACTATGCGGATGAAACTTGAACTTGAATCTTTAACTTGAATTGCATTGCTTCACTCCACTATTCCGCTAACCTCCATTGGATATGATCGTGAAAGATCGATTCTATGCATCCTCCAACACATTGTTTGCCTAGAATAAATAAGAAAACACAAACACTAGACAAGCAATATTAATTGTAAATTGTTTGTTAAAACATCATCAAAACAAAAAGGCCAACAATACGATGAACAATGTAGTATTAGTCATCGTTCAAAATTGAAAAATTCCAATATCTGGCCAAGACTGCTGCAAGCAAGTACTAGTTTGCCTTTTGGTCTATATCATAATGCTGTCTCATATACCAAACACTATCATCATCTTCCCTTGTTTTCGAAACCTTTCTAGTATAGGGAAAAATTGGTCGGTTGCTTAGGTACATAGAAAAATTAAAGTGTGGATATCATGTATGTAATCTTGTTGATAGACATATATTTTCAAATTTGCTGGGATATTGATGGTTGTATTATAATAATGATGAATAGTGCTTCAGTGTAAGCGGGAAATGTTATTTGTTTCCTACTTGTGTAATAGTGATGAATATTGTCACTGTGGAATTTTATCTTTGCAGAGCATTAAGGATAGGAAATTACCTTCAAGGGTTCCAGGAAATGGGAATTCTACTTCAGCATTTTCTTCAGTTGAACCCGGCATGGATGAACATGAAGCCGGTTTTCCTGATGGCTATCCTTTTCCTACTAGTGATAACCAGGATACAGATTTTGCTTATCATGGTACAGCTTTGTCAGTGGAAGAAAAGAAGGAATTTCTTGTCATAACTCGGAACAGCGTAGATATTTTATCATCCATGCTGAATGCTGAAACAGACAAGAAGCCTGTTAAGGTATGTCTCAACGTTTGAAATTTGGTCTTGTTCAGTTTGCTTTTGTTGGTATTGTGGGAGTTTTGACAGTTTTGGTTTAAAACAGAAAGTATTGTTTATTGGAATAGGTCAGCTTAATCACGAACTCTCAGTCCATTCGTTTCTTTTTTACCTTTTTCAAGTATATCATTATCAAATTAACTTTTCTTAATTTAAATTTCATATCTCATTGTAAATTAGTTGCTATTAGTTAATACATGGTCGTTATTACCTCATATTAGCTGTATTAGCTGTATCAGCCAATACTTCAAACCATGATATATCTATTGCTGCTGAATTATATTTTCAGGTTTCTGAGGATTTTGATCAAATTAAGCTTGATAACAGAGCAAAGCATCTATTGTCAATAACCTTTGTGCTGAAAATCTTGTATTTTCCCATAACTATTGACCCTTGGGCTTTTAATGAAAATTTCCAAAAAATCATGCTTCCATCTCTTAAAATTTGCATTTTAATTTATTTCAAACATGGTTCACTTTCGTGAACAATTTTTTTGTCAAATTTTATATGTATGGCTACTGCTTGCCTGAGTGGATGCACGATAGAAGATGTTGGTTTGCATTAAATTTTACACTCCATTTTTTGTAATGAATATATATGAATACCTACTGCTGAACTAGCGGACATGTGCCTGGCAATTCAGGATGATCTGATGTTGAGCATGGTTGAAAAATGCAAAGAATCTGAACCGATAATACAGAGGGTAATTGAGAGCATAGATGGCGACGAATCATTGCTCTTCGAAGCTCTAAGTCTCCATGACGAACTCCAGCAGGTTCTCTCCAAGTATCAGGAGCTCGATCTCAGTGATCAAACTGTAGATGATTCCTGCATTGCTCCAGATGCTAGCACTTCCGATGAGAAGAAGAGCTGAAGACTCTTGGTGGTGGAAAAAGTGAAGTTGCTAATGATGGCAGGAACATTAAGAAGGAATAGTATGAGCTAGGTGGGATATATCATCAGTTTGTTTTGTGTAAATACTACAGTTTGGTTTCAAGCTTTTTGCTGTTTGTAATCTATCTTTTAGGTGAATGTGGTATGAACAGTGAGGTTCACTTCTATATTTATACTCATAAACAGGTTTTATTCTTTTAAATGTTGTGCACTAATGTTTATTTATTTATTTATTTTACTGACTTTTGAGGTAGTTTATCTTGCATCCAATATTAACTGCATGCCTTCCTAACATTGTTTATTTACTAAATTAGTTCGGAGTCGTAAATCTATGAAAGCTAAAATTTGTAATTTTGGCTCGAACTCCTAAGCAAAAAACCTTTGCTCAATTTTGGGCACTAATATAAACAAATTTTTTTAAGAAAATTTTATTAAAAAACTCGCCTTGGCCCCATCACGAGGGGACGGCACTATTTTGATTACAGATAAACTCTGGAAAATATGTCGATACTTTTGTCTCATATATTGGTCGGTTTTGTAAAGTAGGCCGTACTGTATATGCTCTTAAACAAGACGACTGAGAGTAAATAATGCTACCTTAGAAATTTGAAGATTTGAGGGTCATATAGACAATTAAAGACTACACGGGGGTAAATACGACAAAGACTCCTAAATAAAGAGGTTCTGGACAAAATTTCGCCACCTTCTTGAAAATTTTGCCACTCTTGTTAAACGCGCGTTCTTCACGAGATAAGACCAGCGCATCCCAAAACCCTTTCAGCTTCAGATGGCAATGGCGTCTACTCTCCTCTCTCCCATCCCCATTCTTCCTCCCCGCCTCCAATCGAAGCGAGCTTCTTCTTCCTCCTTCAATCTCCGGCGACGCTCCGCCGCGTTGTCGCCGATCAATGCGAAGATCGGGGAGAGTCCGCTGCAGTATCGAAAGCTCGGGGACTCCGAGCTCAGTATAAGCGAAATCACCCTCGGAACTGTAAGAACTCTGGAATTTATCATCTGGATTGTTGTTATTTTGGAGTATTAGGTTGTCCGTAGTTTCTATTTTCGTTATAAATTTACAAAACCTAACATGAACAATTATGGTTTTCTATTAGATGAAAATACTATAAACATTTTAAAACACGAATAAAACATTTGAAATCAATGCGAAGGTAGGGGAGAGCACACTGCAGTGTTGGAAACTTGGTAACTCCGAGCTCGATATAAGCGAAATCACCGTCAGAAAGTCTGTGATAGGCTGATGGTAATTTGAAATGAGTGTGGCAGTGAGAAAACAACACGAGTGAAACATTTTAAAAAAATGAGTGAAGCAGAAATGAGAATGTTACGATGGTTAATGTGGATACGCACTTAAACTTATGATAAGAAATGAGTAAATTTGTAGAAGCTTGGGGTTGCTCCTGTTGAGGATAAAGAAGAAAGAGATGTGATTAAGTCGTGTTAACAGAGACCACTAAATCATCTATTTAGGAGAAGGGATACAATTATAGTTAATGGAGACAAAGAGCTAGAAGAGATGACCATCGTAAACTGAATGGAAGAATATGATTCATGTAGACAACCCAAAAATTTGGGATAACAACTTTGTTTTTTTTTTTTTGTTTGGATCTGAAAGTTGAAATTTCATGGTTCTTTTGTAAATCATAAACAAGCGTTCGTGGTGTTTAATTTATGGGTAGTTTTATGGAAGTTTTTGTTATTTATGTTGATTTGAAAGTTTACGGTGTTTTTCTCTAATAAAAATAGCTTATGATAATTCTGGCATAGGCACTAATAGTTTTGATGGTAGTTTTGTGAAAGTTACCCCTTTATTTGTTTATGGATTTTAACATGTAGTTTTTGCTTTTTTAGATGACTTTTGGAGAGCAGAACACGGAGAAAGAGGCTCATGAGATTCTCAATCATGCTTTTGATAGTGGAATTAATATCTTGGACACGGCTGAAGCGGTAAGTTTCTTAGTCTAATCAAATAGTGGTAGCTTGAGGAATTTGTAATTTTTTTTAAAAAAAGAAGAGAATGGACTAAGCAAGATCTTTCAAGTTGTAATAATTACTTCCAGTAATAAATAGCCTTAACCAGTGTATATCTCTATTTGCAATGCCCTCAAGGACCCTTGTTGAAAAAATTCGTGCACTCTTCGTTGCTCTGGTGGAGTTTAGAGGATTAGTGATTGGCTTTCATGAGCTTAGCTAAAATCAAGTGTATACTCTATTTGCAATGTCATTAAGTTGGACTTTTGCTAACAACATTGTATATTCTCTTCATTACGCTGGTGGAATTTGTAGGATATCTCATTAGTTTCATGAATCTGGACGCTACAATCAACCGATAGTTATGCTGCCTATGAACTTGGAATGTGCCTATATGTCCTTGCCACAAAAATTTGAAAGCAACTCAGAGGGTCAATATCACCAAGGGGTGAAAAATTGTGAACATACCAAATGTTTTCTATTTATCTTTGCATTTTCCATTTCAATCTCATTCATTTCTTCTTGGTGTGTTAATGGAGGCACACTGGATTAAGGAATTGTCTAGTGAGGCACTGATATTTGGCTAATGCTGTAGTTATCCAAAATGGTTAATCGCTTAGATCTATCGTCTATCTTCAATCACCAGCAAGTTATTCACTTTTACGATATCTTCTCATCACAAAGCTAAACTCCGTGCCAGTTACTTTAATAATATGCTCACCCAGCTGTGCTCTCCAACTAGGTGCTTGATGTCATTAGGTCTTGTTCCCTATCAGTATTCCATCACTGTCTTTATATGCGTAAACTCCACAATGCCTCTTTTAACAATGTCGCTAAGTATGTGTGTTTCTCATCAGGAGCCTAAGTTGGTGTTGACATAGAACTAACACAAGGACGCACACTCACACACACCCACACCCACACCCACACCCACAACTAAAATAGATATGGTTAGGATTTTTTTTATTAATTTTAAGTGTCAGTTGTTGATAAATACCTCAACTTTCGACTGCTTTTTTAGATCAATATCTTGATTTATCTTAAAAAGTGGTTAAACATCAGGGTATTTATTAGCATTAGCTGCAGTGCTTGTGAGATTCAGCAATTTTTTAATACTCTGGTGCCTTGTTCTGTTAATAAATTAAGTTTCCTTGAATCTCTGTCTTCTTCTTCCTTTCTTGGTATTAGAGTACCTCATAAGGACATGTAATTAGATTGCTCGTGGTAATGAAACTTATTTTTTCTATTTTGTAAGATTTGTATAGGTTTGTGTGTAATCAATATAATAATCTGTTCGCAGTACTGATTTCTGCATTACTTTTTATAGTATCCAATCCCAATGAAAAAGGAGACACAGGGAAGGACAGATCTTTATATAGGCAGTTGGATGAAGGGAAAATCACGTGATAAGGTAAGTTTACTTAATTTTTGATATTTGAATTATTATAATTTTTGCTATTTAGGTTTCTAACAGTTTGCTTACTATAAATTCTTCAACTTTATTGTTTTAATACGTAATACCAAGCTTTGCAACCACTTTGTTCTGAAAATTGAATTAGCTTAATATAAGCACTACCACTGTTAGGAAGCTAACATCACCGATTCACCATGATTAAACAGGAAAAAAAATTCAGCCAGCCACAAGGAGCAAGAACCGGTGTTACACTGAAAACCCCTTCAATGGAAAAAGAGTCCACCACCTTTTTTCTTCCACTAGATGAAAAAAATGATATACACAATGTTTATTCTTGTTAGAATATATATAAAACCATAACCCTCAATCCTCACCACAACTTCGGAGTTTTTATGAAATGGTTAGTGACTTTGATATGGTATCAAAGCAACTCAGGTTCAAATCTCACCGGCCACGAATTTAAAGTGAATTTTCTAAAAATTGACATCACTATCTGAGTTTAGGTTTCGGCCAATAACAAGGACGCTCAACCTACAGGGACATGTTAGAATATTAAACTATAACCTTCAACTTTCATCACAACTTCAAAGTTTTGGTGAAACGGTTAGGGACTTTGACAATTCTCTAATAGCACCATAGCCTCACAATATCTAGAGATCAATTCTTCATTCAATGACTATCAATACTCATCCAATCTCAGAGGGTGAATTTGATTAACAATGAGAAAAAAGATGAAAGGATGGATCAACGTTGTTATAGGATGATGGAGGTCAAAACACAGATCTGAAATATGGGATATGTAGAGATCTTCATTGGGAACAGCTTCTTAAAATTTGAACAAAATTGAAGCAGAAGATACCTCCTATCATCGGCAAAAAGAAGCACCAGAAACCTCCTTTCCCAGCTTCTCACCATCACTTTTCTGTGTTTTCTTCGCTCCATTGATCTTTAATACAAGATCTTGCTGCTAATAGACAATCTCATTAAACAGGTTTAAAAATACACTAATTTACCTATTTGTTCAATGGCTAGGGCTCCTCTTTATGATGTCGATTGCCTAAAACCATTTTTTAAATTGTATTCTATACTTTCCCACTACTACGTGTGAAAAATGATTTGTGGGTTTTGAAGGCCAGATGATCATCTTTGCAATGTTCCCTAGGTGATTTTGGCTACAAAGGTTTGTGGTTACTCAGAAAGATCAAGCTATCTCCGTGCCAATGCGAAGGTTTTGCGGGTTGATGCTGCTAACATAAAAGAAAGTGTGGAAAAGAGCCTTAAGCGTCTATCCACTGATTACATCGATTTGCTCCAAATTCATTGGTCAGTCTCTTTTAATTATATATGTGATATATGTGATATATGTGATATTTAATTAATTTAACATTGTCTGATTTTGGAAAAAAAAATTTATGCTCTCCAGTTTAGCTGAGATGAGCCGCATCTTTTTTCCATGTTTGTCTTTAATCAGAGATTTCTGGTTTTCCTGTTATTGTTTCAGGCCTGATCGCTATGTTGCTTTATTCGGCGAATTTTCATATGATCCTGCAAAGTGGAGAGAGAGTGTTCCATTTGTCGAACAACTCAGGGCCTTTCAAGAGTTGGTTAATGAAGGAAAGGTAAATTCCATTTGCAGTGTTATATTCAGCATCGTAGTTACTTTTGTATTTCTTTGGTCATGATGGCTATTTGCTTACATAGCAGTTTTATTTGAATTACTAAATATATATGTGAGGATGGATTCTATATTATTAGCTACTAGCTAGCAATGTTGTGAGAGCATGCAGATAGTTTATCACAATTCCTATTCATACTTTGTTGGTTTTCTCTTCTATGCATTACTCTTTAGAAAAGTTTAAAAATTCTAATTCAGGCTCCATATAGGAATAAAAACAAGACACTTTTGTGCTAATGAAAGGGTCATTTCCACATGGTTGGGTCAAAATAGCAAGAGGCTTACTTTGGGAAAATCGGTCAATGTACAAATCTTTCTCTACCCCTCTGAGCTGGCTTAATGTTTTGTCCTTGGGACAAAGTGGTTGGGTATTGTGGGAATAAACTAAGTTGTGTAGAGAAGGGGTTTAGGAAAGAAAAGGGTTTTTAAAGAGGACTCAAACAAGGTGGAAGTTGGGCTCCTTGTCATGAAGGGATACCCTAGTCAATCCCTCCTTCACCCACATTTATTAGTTAAGATATTATACTTTTTCATCTTATATAGACTGTTTTCTATGATACACACTAGACGAATTGGCTTACTTTATGTATAAATTCAACTAGCCAACTAGTTAGGCTAATGAGCAAATGAATAGCCATCTCTCGTCAACAAGTCTATGAAAATGAATATGATTTATACAACTTATTTTCTATGGAAATGAATACAATTTATTAGTTGAGATATTATACACTTTATGTAAATAAGAAGATGTTGCAGTGTCAGTAGGACTCTATTGCCTCCTCTTGGTTAAATCTTAGAAGGAAGCTATGTAGATTGTTTTTTCAATATATTGATATTATCTCACATGAGTATAGCTGGTTGTTACTCACATGTTAAAGAACCTAGGCAATTAGCTTTCTAGAAGTTTGGGCATAAGATGTCGTACATTTTTCTATATTAGCACAGTTTCCTTATAGATACTCAAAGATAAGAGATTTCGCTGATTAGCTATCTTATTTGCAATACTCCCAGAGTCCAAGATATATAAAATTTTAAAATTCACTGACTAAATCCAACTCTACCTGCGAACTAGAATGGTCTAGTTCACCATCTTTATTGGATTTGAATCAGTTTGAACAAAATGGGCGCCGTCTCAAGGTGCCCTCTGTTGACCCATAGGATCCAAAAGAAAAAAGCTGAGCCAATTCAATGTTGCTGAAAATAAAATCAAGTTTGATTATCTATGATGTTCATAATCTTTAAATATCACACTTTAATTAAGAAGTTAAAAACTAAGGGGTAGATGCCTTCAAGGGAGCTCAGCATGATGATGTTAGCAATGCAGTGTCCGGATTTTTGTATTTATGAACTATGTCCAAACATTGTACATGTTGTCTACTAATTCTTGGAAAATGCTATACAAATTTATAGAAAAGGTTTTAAAATGTAAAATTAATTACTAGGTATATAAATTATTATGTTGAACATTTGTAATATAAGGATTGAGATTGCAAATTTTTTGTGGCACAAGCTAAAAGAGATAAACATGAATATAGGGTTAGAGATAGGGCTTGTAGGTATAATATTGTAAGACTGCTCCACTCTCTCATCTCGCTACTACTTATTTGTCAAAAAATTTGTTTCCTTGGAGAAAGTTATTTGATGTGGACATATAATCAAGCCTTGTTGATATTCTTGTAGCTATAATCTACCATCTTTCACATTGTTTAACTTTAAAATTAGGATGTGATTGTGGATCTTTGATAACCACAAAGAGATCATGACCCCTTACAATTATGACTTTATGACTTGACAATTAAAATGGTTCGAGAACCCCTGGAATGGGGCCAAATTTTAGCAGTATTGAATTGGCTTGGCTTTCTTCTTTTGGATCCTATGCGTCGACCCTGGACCACTTGGATGTTGCCGATTTCGTTTGAACTGATTCGGATCTAATAAGGACTATGAACTAGACTATTTTGGTTCGCAAGTAGAGTTGGATTCAGTCAATAAATTTTAAAATTTGTATCTCTGGGAGTTTTTCAAATACGATACCTAATCAGTGGGTTTCTTATCTTTGTCTATCTCCAGTGAAACCTTTCTATTACTGAAAAATGTCCAACATCTTATGCCCTAGCTTGTCGAAAGCTAATGCTTAAGTTCTTTAACATGTGAATAACAACCAATTATACTCATATGAGATGAATATGCATATATTAAGAAAAGCCTATGCTACTTCCTCCTTAAATATGTCTACATTTCAAAGGGTTGCAATGATTTTAACTACAAGGAGGCAACAAAGTAAGTCCTGGACTCCTGTTGAGACCGCGAAATCTCGTTATTTAGATAAATTGTGTAATATCTCAACTAGTAAATTGCATTCCTTTTCATAAACTTGTTGAGGAGAGATGACTGTCTATTTTCTCATTAGCTTAATTTGTTGGCTAGTTTAACTTATATATAAAGTAAGTCAATTCATTTAAGTGTGTATTAAATAGAAAACAATCCACATAAGATATTAAAGTATAATATCTCAACAATAAATGTGGGTGAAAGAGGGATTACTAGGAGAAGGTTGTAGGCGTATAAAATTGCTTATAGGTCCCTTAGCATAGCTCGGCACAAACCGACGAACCAACGAGGCGACGAGGTTGACGAATCGCACGTAAGCAACGGAATACATCCATTCATGTGTGGAATCAAGCCAAGGGTTCGAAGAATCAACGAGTCATCCAAACAAGAGCGGACTCGGATGAATCACAACCGAATCAAGATCGGTTTCGGACTCGAACTCAGAAGTTGATTTACTGCCAAAACAGGAATCAGATTTACTGCCAAAACAGGAATCAGATTTACTGCCAAATCAGAGTCTAAGTCAACCGAAAAACGAGAGTCTAAGTCAACCGAAAAACGGATACAACGGACAAAACGACGAAACAGAAACGCCTAAGGGTGGCTCGGCCCAGTGCCGGCCACCCATGGGTGGCCGACCCAGATCTGTGCGCGGGCACAGTTCAGAGAGCCTATAAATAGGCTCCTCTTTGTTCATTTGAAAAGGTTGGATTTTTTGGAGGCGAAGCCTTGCTGGATTGAAGACTCAGATCTAAAAAAGATTCAAACTTTAGGACTTCGAGGACTTGTTCATCCAGATCTGGTGCTCGGCGATCGTCAACGCCAAATAATGTAAGAGTTCGAGAGGACCGGATCTCAGATCTACGCAGGCGTACTCCGGATCAAAGCTTGGCCTTTGATCCCGAGATTTGGGCGATTGTTTCCTTGGTGAACCAATCCCCCCCGGCTATTATTTCCTTGGTGAAATAATAACCGTCGTACTGCGTAGATCCGACCGGATCTAGATCTCACGGTGGTCGACCGGATCTCAGATCTACGCAGGCGTACTCCGGATCAAAGCTTGGCCTTTGATCCCGAGATTTGGGCGATTATTTCCTTGGTGAACCAATTCCCCCGGCTATTATTTCCTTGGTGAAATAATACCCGTCGTACTGCGTAGATCCGACCGGATCTAGATCGCGCGGTGGTCCACGGATTAACCCCGGCGTCGGCAAAGAACCCACACAAGCAAGAGACCGCAAAACAGGATCTTGCGATTCGTTCGACAAATAAGGAGAAAGTTGTAATTTTTTAAAGATAGCAATGGAATCAATAATGAAGAAAGACACGATTTTTCCCGCGAACAATCTGGCGACCACAGTGGGAGCCGCCGATCTCGCTGCCGAGATCGTAACGTCGTAGCCGCGGATCTCAATCCCGGTCATGGAGGAGGTCGAGTATGAGTTTGACCAAACCAAGTTCGAGGAGTACGTGTCCTCGTCCGGATCTCCCTCCCCTCACAAGTCCAAGAAGTCCAAGAAGTTCTCCTCTAGGAGAAAAGCTCGTTGGTGTGAAGATGTAGAAAACACCAACGAAGATCTTGCCCCGTTTGATGCCAAAGTCGCATCGGGTGAGATTCCTCTAACTTCCAACCAGGGCAGGCCTATTTCTGTCAATCCCTCCGTCACCAAAGAAGTGATGACTCTCTCAAAGAGAGCTCGCCAAAGGCGACGCCAACGCTTGGCCCGAGAATTCGCAAAAGCGATGGAGTCAACCGACGGAATCCGCTACAACGCGGATCTGAAGAACAGGAGAGGCAAACAGCCTCAACCACCGATGAATGGCAGTTCCTCCAAGCCGCCAACGAGCGAATGGGTCCGGGTCAAACGGAATCGTTCGACGCTTGAGGAGCGCATTCGCAAGCGCCGCGCAATGTCAGCGCAGGCACGAGCTCAAGTCCAAGAGGTGGCCAAGAACCGCCATCAACCCGTAAAACTTGGAGACCGAAGTCTGAAGCGGCGATTCAGACTAAGGAGCAACAACTGCAGCCTCCGAAAGTTCAACCTCCGGCGAATCAATCCAGACCGCCGATGATTTCCACAACTGCTCCGGGAGATCCCGCAGGACCATCCCAGAAAAGGAAGTCAGTCTTGGAGCGCCTCGATCCACTTACCGAGGAGCGAAGAAAAATTCCAATCCAAGGACGTTTGGGCCCACTAAGAAAGCCCCGAACGAATCAACATGATGGGGGTCGCCACAACCCTCAATATGACGAGGAAATCAGGGCAACCAAGCGCACTACTTTGCGCATTGAAGTTCAGGAGCCCGTCAAGAATTCGCGCCCACAAAGGCGCGTTTCGAGACGCGTGACTCTGGAAAGTCCGAAGAAGGTAATTCGCTCTCAGAAGGAAACATTATCGTCTGGTGATGACTATGACGTTATACCTGAGAAATCGTGCCGACACGCGATAGATTACCCAGACCTTCAAACCGATGAGTTGTACTATCGAGATGGGAGCACGAGGAAAACCAGAAAGAGGAGTCCTCGAGGATTAGAAACTCAATGCCCCTGTTCCAAGCTCATTCGGGCGGTATTGTCTGAGTACAGCTGCATTAGGGCGGTCCCCGAAAGAG